AAAATAATTAAAATTATATATTAAAAAATATTCTTAAATAGCATATAATTATATCTAAATAATTAAAATTATAAATACTTTATTTTTAAAAAAAATTTATATATAGTATGTTCATGTATCTATATTTTTGCACTAGACCATATAATTTATTAAGAAATTTTCAAAAATAAATAATTAAATATAATTTTATTTCAAGAATATAATTTATTAACAAGATAAATATTATAAATTTTTATAAGATCTATTTATAAGAAATATTCTTTAATATCTATTTAATAACTAAATAATTTATTCTTTTTTACTAATTAAAATATATTAATTTTATATATTTTAAAAATATTATAAATAATACTTTAATTATAATACTTAATTAATATTATAAAACTAATTTTATTATAATAATATTATTAATTAATTAATTATAATAATTAACTAATTTTATTATAATAATTTTTTTATACTTATAAAATCTTTTATAAATATTTATAAATAATATTTTTTTAAATTAATATCTAATAAAATATAATTAAATAATTATTTAATAAGATTTTAATAAATTAAATAATAAATAATATTCTTAATAAAAGTTTATATTATAATAGAATCCTCTTTATTAACATTTTATTTCACAATATATAAAGTTAAATATTAAATTTTTACTAAATTTAATAATTCTTTAAAGTTATTATTTCAAGCTTGATGAATGATAACTTTTTTAAATTCAGTATTAATTATTCTAAAATATTTTAACAGCTTTACTAACTATTTTTTAATGTCATAATATGTTATCAATCATAATATAACTAAATTTAATATATAAAAATAAATTTTCTCTTATCAAATCTATAAATATTATAGAATTTATAATCTTATTATCAGTTCATAGTATATTAAACTGAATATTTCTATTGAATATTGTTATTATTATTATTTCTATTACTATGTTAGTTAAAGTGACTTTTGCTCTTGACTTGCAAAGTGATGACATTTTAATGAGAAGTTTTGGATAAAAAAATAAGAAAATCTATTAATAAATTAAACAAAAGGGAATATTTATAATAATTAAGCTCTACAAATAAACACAGCTGATTGTAGCAAAAAAAAAAACAATGAACTACATAAAAAGCCAGGCTAGGGGACCGCCGTGAGACCGGCACATTGGCTCGCGATCTATTCCGAACACTGATCCTTGTCTAGCGGGTTTTTATATAGCGACAAAAGAATTATTTAAAAGTATACTATATTTTTATGCAACAACTAGCTAAATAGGAAAAAAAACAGAAGCTTTAAATCTTATTTCCGAGTTTCTTTTTTCTTTTGTGGTTTTTGTGGCGAGATTGGGTTTAATGATAACCATTCCGCTACGCGCACGATATTCTTTTTTTGAGCAGATTTCGTATAATCATGATATAAATCATCGTTACACCTGAAAATTCTCTGGGATGACACAATTAGAAAAGACTCATTAAAATCTAGGTGTGAATAATGATGATACATACTTCTATTAGTAACAACATTTTACAAACATCCGCTAATTTCGTCCAGTCATCTTCGAATTTCCAAGGTATTTCCAACTTGTAAATTCTTTCAGCAAGAAATTTGTCCTTGCCGGCCAAGCATATCCTCCAGAGTTCACCTTGATTTTCTAGTTTATAGTTAGAAAGTAAGTCAACACTAATGTCTATTTCCAAAGGAAAAAGGCAACGCAATTTTGAAAACTTAACTGTGAACGATATAAATTAATTCACTATATTTCCTGCAGATTTCCACATCTCCTTGTCTATTTGTCCAAAATCTTTTGCACAGAGTATCGATTGCATTACGAAATGACTTGTTTAAATCTCTGAAATTTTCATTATATGGTTTATTAGAAAGTAATTTAGAGATTCTGAAAATAAAATCTCTTAACGCACTTGTAATACTTCAGATGTTTCTCCTTTTTCGGAGAGCAAACATTTTCGAACACTAATCTTTCTATTGTGCTACTTTTTATGAAAATTATACCGTCACATTTCCTACCGGTCTTCTTATTTGACTTATATACGTTCTGTCTTCGCCATTTTGATGATGGATGGATCATTTCACACCATGAGCTATTAAATAAGCCGGGGTCTTTGTTTTTCAAAATTTCGAAATCTGGCGCAATCCATGTTGCTGTATACGTTGACTCGCTCATGGTTTCGTTGAATTCTGATTTCCACTTATAAGCCCTAAGAATTTGGGATAATATTTAGTAAACTCATAAAGGATTAATTGAGAATCAGCTGACAATATTACCATGTATCCAAAATTCTTTTTACGAACGAAGCATCCTTTGGATCTAAGTCAACTTTTTTCTCTTTAATAAACTTCATAGTACTTTCTACGTTACGCTAGTGATAAAGATTGTGACAAAAAAACGACAATTATTATAGTTATATGATTGTAATGACACCAAATACATCTATCTATTGTATCCTTTTCTTTATCAGTTATGTCAGGAACTCGATTTTCAAGCACCCATTTCTTTAGTTCACCATGTTGATATACTGCCTCATGATCGGAAATATTGATGATTTCAGCTGTGCAATAACTAAAATGAAATTCAGTATAAATTCGAGAAAAAGTATAACTTAGAATCAGGGAATAAACCTCTCGTCGAATTCATCATCAGTTGTATCATCATCGCTTTCGCTTTCACACTCTATTTCTATGTCATTCCTTATGAGAAAAGTAGACAATAAAAACATAAGTAATCTCACCGCATAAATTTATTACTTATAAACAACGGGTAAAACCACTTGTCAGATTTATTGCCAGTTTCATCATAGTCGTTATCACTTTCACTTTCGCTTTCGTCGTCTCCTACATCATCCTCTACTAGGCTAGACACAAGATGGATTGTCAATAAAGGCAGATAATCATATTGATTATCGCTGACCTTTTGACATTGTCGTAATCTGAATATTTTTCCAGAGGACTGGCTTCACGGCGTCTTCATCTACCCACTTTTGCCCAATTTTGGTATCAAATTCCATAACTCTCTTTTCTGCATTGGCTCTATGTTGTAGTTGATAAAGATTCCCTTCCTATAATAAAGAAAAGAGTATTGTGACCAATGCAAAACTAAATAGTATTGAATCTAATATACCTCTCTATAGTGTTCAGTTGCAAGCCTTGTCCAGTATTGATTACACTCTTGGAAAGTAAGGAACTGACAATCATCGCCCTTCAGATGTTTCACGTATTTTTTTACTTTCTTGTCATGATGTTTTAAAAGGCATTCGACCGTGTCTCTAAACGCTTGCTCTGCTTGGTTACGTTGGTCGTGGCAGAATTTAAGTTCTTCGTAAAAAGTTGTTGCAATTTCGGACTTTTCACTTATGGAAACTGTGTTTCCCTTTTCTTTTATTATCTACTAGTAAACGATTGCGTAAGATTTGCGGTTCTAGTTTTGTTCTCATTTTAGTGGAAAGAAAGGGAAAACGCGTTTTTTGTCCATTAAAAATGTGATGTCATGTGATGCGAAAAATGCAATATTCCATTCCATTTCTATATCATTCACCATGTAATCCATAATTCCCATGTTTTCCATCACAAATAGGGCATGGCGAGTTCCACGGCCGAGCAAATGCAAAATTATATATCAATCCCCCTAAAACTATTTCGGAATTTCAAGTATGTGAAATGCTCTAACACGGATTTGATAATTAATTCTGGATTAGGTTTGGCTTCAAAAGTTATAGGCTTGAAATCAGAGGCTTGAGGTTCTGCTGACATATTTATCACAGCTTTTCCAGTTTCTTTTTTATATTTTTTGTATAAACTGGAATGAATCTTATCCGTTAAAACGCTTGGTAACCCACTTGGCATGCCAATCCAGATATTCGGAAATTAATATTTATCGGATTTGGCCATGTTCCTTTTTATATGATTGCAAATCAATTTAAAATTCCTTTTTTTCTCATATAGACCTATTCATTTGAAAAAAAGATTAAAATTCCCAGATAGATTATCACCCCAAATTTCGCGCTGTTCACATTTAATAAAATAAGATCCGGCTTTATATCTACCTTTTATACTTTCCTCATCTAACTTGCATAATGGGCATAATGTCTCGTCATAATAATCGAAATTTTCACTACTAAATAAATTAGGATAAGTTGCAAGTGATACACATGCTTGAGGTGTGATTGGTGAAATCGTTTTGAAGTCACATGACTCTGAGTATAGAAATATCACTGTAACTAACTTAATACTATTGATCTCAATCCTCTTTCTCCAAGAAATTTTTTAGCTCTATAGGTTCGAATTCGTAAATTATCTTGAGTGATTTTAGATAAATATTATAGCATTTCTTTGTATATTATTATTTTTGCTATTTTATCTTTAATCTTGTAATAATTTTATATTTATTTTCAAACTCAAAGAAATAATGATATCAATATAAGATTTCTTTTAAATCCATTCTTATAACTTTATCATATCAATAAGTTAAACTCTGTGTCAAATTCTCAGTTGCATTATTTAAAATAGTCTTATTATATAACTTATTTATTACTAAAGAAATAAATCTAGAAAGATTATACTTTAAAATTTGTTTAATAAATTGATCTTTTAATAAAAAATAAAGTAGAGATATTATTATTTATACTAAGTAATAATTTTAAATCTTAATTATTATCAATAATAATGATTTTTTGTCATATAGAAATCAATATCTAATTCTTAAAAAGTTTGAGATTTTTTGCTTTTTTTTCTTTTTATTTTTGTCAAAAAAAATAAAGTTAAAGTTATAAAACTTCTTTAATATTTTCAATTCAGTAACAAAAAATAATAGTTTAATAAAATTCAAATAAAAATCTATATGAAATTGGATCTAATTTAAGATAATTTTGAATATTCTGTCAGATATAATGTAAATCTTAGATCAGATCTCTTCTTCTATGATAATATAAGATCACATGACTCTTCGCCTTTATCTTAATCACATACACGTGATTTTTAGAGATAAATCAATCAAATTATAAGATATAACATTTTTATTAAGGATCAGAGTTAGGATTATATACACTAAATATCACGTGCACCGCCCTTTTTTTGCCATGGATACTGAATATATTACGTGATTATTTCTTACTGGCTATATTTCATAATGTAAAAATACATGATTGACTTCTCGCATGAAACATAATTTAAAGAAATTTCTAACTGTGCCACCTTACTTTAGCGTTCCCTTAACGAAAATGTCGTCGAATACCTTATCTGCCCAAGAAAAATATGACCTAATAACAAGAAATTTACAAGAAGTAATCGGTGGTGAAGAATTATTGAAAATCCTCGCCGAAAGAGACTTGAAGCTTTATTGGGGCACAGCACCGACGGGAAGACCTCATATTGGTTATTTTGTTCCAATGTCGAAAATTGCAGACTTTCTTTCGGCAGGAGTCGAGGTATTTATCAATTTAATTGCAACAAAACTATTTACATGAAATCATGAATTATTATTTAATTAATATTTTCTATTAGGTGACCATTCTTTTGGCTGACATACACGCTTTCCTCGACAATATGAAAGCTCCACTCGAATTAGTTAAATTTCGTACGAAATACTACGAAGAACTAATCAAGGCTTTACTAGAGTCAATTGGTGTCCCAATTGATAAGTTAAAATTCGTAGTTGGCTCAAGCTATCAATTAACCGAAAAGTACAATATGGATCAGTATCGACTCTGTGCTACAGTAACGGAACATGATGCCAAGAAAGCAGGCGCCGAAGTAGTAAAACAAGTTGAATCTCCGCTACTTTCCGGTTTACTTTACCCTGGACTACAAGCTCTCGACGAAGAATATTTGGGTGTGGACGCGCAATTCGGTGGCGTTGATCAACGAAAAATTTTTGTTTTTGCCGAAAAATATTTACCACATCTTGGTTACAAAAAACGTGCACATTTAATGAATCCGATGGTTCCTGGTCTCCAAGGATCGAAAATGTCTTCATCGGACGTAGATTCAAAAATTGATCTTCTTGATGACGAAGCAACTGTCAATAAAAAACTAAAAAAAGCTTTTTGTGAAGAAGGAAATATAACTGATAATGGTGTTTTATCATTTGTTAAGTCGGTTTTATTCCCGCTTGGTTCCCTTAATGGACAAACACCAAAATTCGTGATCAAACGACCAGAAAAGTACGGGGGAGATGTTACCTATACAGAATATCAATCATTAGAGGATGATTTTCGCGATAAAAAAGTTCATCCCGGAGATTTAAAAACATCAGCAGCATTAGCAATTAATAATCTGTTAGGTCCTATCCGAAAGAAATGGGCTGATAATCCGGAATTCGCTAAATTGACAGAAGATGCCTATCCCGATACAAGTGTAAAAGTTACAAAGAAAAAAGAATCTAAAAAACACAATCTAAATAAAAAATAAAAGCTAGATCTTTATCATATTCAATCCGTGAGACTTTCATCTTGTATATTAAAGCATTTATATTTATATATTTATATTTGAAAAATTTTGTAATAAATGAAAATATTAAATATATAATAAATAATTGAATAATATAATGATAAGATAATAGAAACCAAATTTATTAATAAAATATAATAAAAAATGTCATTTTTTATGTTAAAGTCTTCAAATAAAGATTATAATTTATAATTTAATATATATTTTTCAGATTTTTTAAAAAAAGTTATTTAAAAATTTATATAAAAAATTATTTTTAATTAGTACAAAAATATATTAAATTATAGATTATAATTTTAATTTGATATAAATATTTAATAATATTTCTTAATATTTCTTATATATAGTAATGACCAAAAGTAATGTATCAGAAATTAAATTTATTAATAAATTATAATAAAAAATCAAAATTTTCTTTCTATATTAAAATTTATAATTTTACTAAGAAATAATTTTTATTTTTATATTAAAATAAAGTTTATTAATTATAGTTTAACATATATTTTTTTCAGATTTTTTAGATTTTTTCTAAAACAGTTATTTTAATTATAAAGTTAATACAAAAATTTTTACTAATTAAAAATGAAATTTAATTAATAAAAATTTTTATATTAACTTTATAATTAAAATAATTCTTTCAGAAAAAATCTAAAAAAAAATATGTTAAATTATAATTAATAAATTTTATTTTGATATAAAAATAAAAATTATTTCTTAATAAAATTATAAATTTTAATATAAAAAAAAATTTGATTTTTATTATATAAGTATATTTATTAATTATATATTATCCTAAATAAAATACTAATAATTAAAATTTTCTTTTATAGTAATAGTCAAAATTAATATATTAAAAAGTTAAATTTATTAATAAAATATAATAAAAATTAATTTTTTTTATATTAAACTTTATAATTTTATTTTAAATTATAAAATTTAATATAAGAAAAAATTTCAATTTTTATTAATAAATTTGATTCTCTAATATATTATCTTTAATTATCAAAAATTTTTATTTTATTAATAAATATTTTAGTTTTTTCTTATTTAAGTTGAAAATATCTCAATTAAATTATATTGAAATATATAATAATTATTATTTTATTTTTATATAAAAATAAAAAATATTTATTCAGATATTTTTTTAAGATAATATATATACCTTTATAATATATTACCAGAAATTTAAAAGTGAATCTGTCACTTTGAAATCCAATATCTCAAAATTCAATAATCTAATTTAAATGAAAATACTTTCATTGAATTTATTCTGACTTCACAATTCTTATGACAATGTCTTTATTTAAATGGAATCATTAGATTTTGAGATATTTGGTAGGGATGTGTATATCATTTATAATATTTACAAGGATTTTTTATTTTAGTAATAGTTTTTTTAATATCTTTGATTTGAAATTAAGCTTGTAAAAACATATTGTGATGAATTTATTGCTATAATCACACATAAAATTTAATTTCACTTATATGCAAGTGACTTTTTGCTTGTTCAAATCTATATTTTTGGAAATGTTTTTTTCTTTCATTAATATGTATTGATAAGAGAAGTTCAACCACCTGTCATGTTATAATAGATTCTAATTTTACAAGGAAGGGGAAAATGCCATAACTTATATGTCATAATAACGAAAAATTTTATATATAACTCTATATATAAACGAGATTGTCATATTAACGAACGTCATATTAATGAGGTTTGACTGTTCTAAAAATTAATTACCCTAAATGCTAACTTGCATGCATTTAAAAAACAATAAGAAAAATAGTGATATCATTTATGAAGGTTAAGGGAGATTTCTGACACTCCCCTAATTATAAGAAGGAACTAAATCACATAGATCACGTGGACGCACGTTCAACAATTAAATATCGTTTAATCAATACTTAAATAATACTCTTATAGTCACAACACATGATTAATCTATAAATGTGACTATATGAGGGGAACTCTACAATCGTCGAATACCACTATATAATCATTCCGATTATATGGAGGTATGACTATCTATTCTATTTCTTCGCAAATTTTTCATTAATTTTTTCCCAATCTTCTACATCGTCATTGCTCCCTAAAAAGATTGGTGCACGTGCATGGATTTGGTCAGGAACTATATCGAGAATTCTCCCGGATCCATTTACAGCTTTTCCACCTGCTTGTTCAACAAGATACGCCATGGGGAAACATTCGTAAAGAAGACGAAGTTTCCCATTCTTTGATTTTTTATCGGCTGGATACGCAAAAATCCCGCCATACAAAAGTGTACGATGCACATCGGCAACCATGGATCCAATGTATCGAGCAGAATATGGATTTTTACCGGGCGGCGGAAATTTCAAAGAATTGAAGTATTCAGTGCATGCTTCATCCCAATACATGGCATTGCCTTCGTTGACCGAGTATATTTTTCCACGTGATGGAATCCTTATCTAATGTTAAAATAATAGGAAAAATTATGAATGTTAAACATGCTAAAACCAATAATATTAAAACAAAAAGTGTGAAAATCTACGTTGGGATGTGTAAGAATGAATTCACCGATAGCCTAAAAATCAATCAACAGACAATTAGACATCATTAAACATTATAAATTTACAAGACCAACGATAACGATAAATAATTTACATTATCGAGTGTATAACCATTTACACCATTTCCGAGTGAAAGAACCATATTAGCAGAACTACCATACATACAGTATCCGGCTACAACCATTTCTTTACCAGGCCTTAATACGTCTTCAACTGTTCCATTAGAACCAGGACGCTTTTAAAAGATTATAGTGAAATTTATTAACAATTATACAAATTAATTGATAAATAACTAAAAATTCATAGAATATACGCACTGTACGGTAAATACCAAATATAGTGCCAACATTCACGCCAGCATCAATGTTTGAAGAACCGTCCAACGGATCAAATACAACGCAATAACGCCCACGTAACCCATCTTCAACAATAATCGCTTGTTCATCTTCCTCGGATACCATTACGGCAACACGTCCCGAGGAACGAAGCGCATTGATAAAAATTTCATTAGAAATTACATCGAGTTTTTTTTGTTCTTCTCCTTGGACATTAGAAGCTCCTGCGAGACCAACTCTATTTATGTTTTATATGATTTGAGAGAGAGATAAGACATATTAACTACCATCGACTCGAGCTAACCAAAACTTTATTCATTTTATTTATTTATTTATTTATTATACTTGCAAGTTTAATAAACGAGCTTTTCTAACATTCGTAGCCACAAATTTGCACCCCAATTGAACAGCGTTTAATAATAGGGTAAGTTCGCCGCTAGCTTCTTTATGTTTGCGTTGTTCGTCGAGTACATGACGACTCAACGTGATAATGTCGGTAGTGACTTTTTCGTCAGACATTGTTTAAGAAAAGTTTTGTGTACTAAATTTTTTTTGGGTGTGTGGGAATTTCATTCTTTCCAAACTTGGCTGGATTCACGCGCAGCTATCTGACGTAAGTGATGTTGATACTACGCAGCATGTCCTAATTATTCCTAAATTCATTATTTTTCCAATTCATTTCGAACAAAAGAATTATGTCAAATTCTAATCAGTCCCGGGCAGCCGATGCACCCTATGTAGCCTTTAAAGATGAGGAAGATGATTTAGAGGAAGGCATGTCTGATAGCTACCCGCTACACCCTACAAATAATGCTAGTTCTTCGCGAAAATCAGCATCACAGCCCTCATTTTTACAAGCATTTTCAACAAGTACGCAACAAAGATACAAGCCATTGCCCGGTGGAGAAGTAGTAGAAGAAGAGGAACAAGATGTTGATGAGGCTCCAGCTTCATTAATGGTTGAGGTACCTCGAGATAATACGGCGGATAATGGTACTTCTAGTCGGCCACGTTGGAATTTTAGGCCACGTAATCGAAATGAAAGGCAACACATGAGACCGGAGATGGATATTCGTGAACTTACAATGTGGAAGTGGGCTAATGTCGAAAATTTGGACCTGTTTTGTGAACAGGTATGGATCCACATCATGTTCCGACTCGATTTAAGATTGCGTAGTCTATCTAACTTTTTTATTATTTTGAGCTCAGGTATATTCATATTATGTAGGCAAGGGAAAGTATTGCATATTGCTTAGCCGATTTCTAAATATACTGTAAGTGATTCTTTTATTCGCATTCCATCGAAAAAAAAATAAAAGGCTAAATAATATAAAATATGATCTTGATTAGGACATTGGCTTTTGTAATAGGATTCTCGACCTTCCTAATTGGTTGTATTGATTACTCAGGGTTGAAACCCAACACTAGACTTCCTGATCTAGTAATACCGCATTGCATTAGTCAGTAAGTCTGTCAAAAGAAATCTGTTTGTCTGGTGCAATAATCATTTCTAAGTTACTGATTCGTGTGTCCAAAAAATTACGTTAGACTATCTGGCATGATGAAATTATTTCTTGTGCTGTTTTCCTGCTTTTTGCTACATCGAATTTTCCGACTAATATTGGATGTGCGGCGTTTGACCGATATGTTTAACTTTTTCAAATACCTTTTAAACATTCCGGATGTAAGTTTTGCAATTAATAGTTTTGAAAATATCCGCATTCTAATTCTCATCTTTTTTTCGATGTTACAAAGGAGGATATGCAAACAGTTACATGGCAGAAGATTGTCAACCAAATAATGAAAATCCGGGATAATAATCCTACAACAAGTCATCAAGTCCGCCATCTTACACATACTCAACAGCGTCTTGATGCCCATAATATTGCGAATCGGATCATGCGTCAGGAAAATTATCTGATAGCCTTGATAAATAAGGAGTTATTGAATTTGTCGATTCCGATCCCGTTTCTCGGACGACGGCAAATGTTAACCAAGATTCTTGAATGGAATTTGAGTTTTTGCATATTGGATTATGTGTTTGATGAAGATGGACAAATTTCGAACCGTTTTCTCAAGAATGTCGATAGAGAGGACTTAAAACAGAAGTAAGTTAAATTGTTTTTTAGATGAATTTATATTATCTCTTTTTAAGTTAACTCCTTACCATATACGTCTATATTATTATAGATTACGGCGTCGATTTATTTTCATGGGATACATTAATTTCATATTTGCTCCTTTTATTGTTGTGTATCTTCTTTTGTTCTTCTTTTTCCGATATTTTGAGGTATTCCTTTCTATTGGTTTATCTTTTTTATTCATACCTTATTGCTTATGATACTTATAATTTTAGGAATATTCTAAAAATCCCAGTTCATTGGGCTCACGTCAATGGTCGCCATTTGCTAAATGGAAATTTCGAGAATTTAATGAGTTGCCACATTTATTTCAACTGAGATTGAATAACAGCTATGAACCTGCAATGAAATACATTAATCAATTTCCTAAGGAGAAATCTGTATTAGTCGCGAGGTATGTGTAAAAGAAAAGCTTCATCCTCAAAATATGATTAACTTATTATAATTGCACAAATAATAGATTCGTGTCCTTTATTGCTGGATCCTTTGCCGCAATTTTAATATTGGCAACTCTAATAGATTCCGAATTATTTCTTCTCGAGATCACACCCGAACGTACAGTGCTCTCGTATATTGGAATTTTCGGGATTATCTTACATATCAGTCGTGGTATGATTCCAGATGATCATTCAGAATTTGATCCAGAAAAGCTTCTAAAGGAGGTTATCGAGTACACGCATTATTTACCAAATGAGTGGAGAGGAAATTTACATGCGGACGAGGTTTGAATGTTTTCTGTTATTCGAGTTTCTGAATTATCCAATCGTATTTTAGGTAAGTTTGAGAAACATTGTTTATTATTTTTAGGTCCGAAAAGGATTTGCAGAATTATTTGAAATGAAGATAATGTTATTCCTTCAAGAAATACTTGGTGTCATTTTCACGCCTTTTGTTTTATGGCTCTCTTTGCCAGACTGTAGTGATATCCTTAAAAACTTGATATTCTTTTTTCAAGATTTTGTGTTAAAATTTGTAAAAATTTTTCTTGACTCTCCAAGTTCTTACAGAAAATTGTTGACTTTTTCCTCCAATTTACCGTTCATGTGGATGGTGTCGGGCATGTTTGCAGTTTTGCCGTGTTTGACTTTAAGAGACATGGAAATGTCAAAGTAAGAGAAACTTTGCATTCATTTGTTTGAGAGATGATGTTGATGTTCATTTTTTTATTACTATTTCAAAAGTATGGGGCACCAGCCGAAGTAGAGAATGAGTATTATCTATCGAAGGAAGGCAAAATGGAAAAAAGTTTCTTGAACTTCAAGGTATAATAATGAACAATAATTATTATAACTGTTTTATACTTCGTCGTAAAATATTAATATTAAATAATTTAATCTCATAGGCTAATAATCCGGATTGGGAACCCACCGACCCAGCAGGATCTGTATATCTCAGTCGTCTTAATGAATTCAATAATCAAATTCACCATGATCGACCAAGTAGTCTGCGTACATCGGGAATTGATTCAATTTTACGTACAAGTCGTCGAACAGGTAATGTTCACTTTGGAGCAACAACAAGCTACACGACCGCGAATCCATCAACTTATGGACATCATCGAAAGAATACTGGTGTTGGTGATTCAATATTAAAAGAAGATGACGTAGCTCACTCTACTGCTGTGCCGCCTCCACTTCGCAAACAATATCCTGTTGCTGCTGCATCTACTTCCAATAATAATAATAATAATAATAATAATACTAGTAATAATAACAATAATAATACCCTAACATCATCGTCACATTCGAGCCAAGAGAATTACAAGAGTGAATTGGGTGATTCATTCTATTTAACTGGTGAAAGTGGAAGAGGCATAAATATATCTAATGGCGTTTCAGATGGTTCTTCACCTCCAGAGTCCCCGGAACTTGATCGGCCACGTCAAGCTGGTATCTTTGGTTTATTGAATCAGTTTTATGAATTGAACACTTCGAATATTTGATTCTTATAAAATTCGAAATAATTACAAATATTTTTTTTAGCACACAACCAATTCTTTATTGTACATTAAATAGACAATTTTTAGCATTGCGATTTTTAATGATAATTGGAATAGAACATAATAAATAAGGGGGGTGGGTGGGTGTTGTTTTTTATATATATATATTACGTAGTTAATTGTTTAGATTCTAATAAATATTGGATTTTTTATATAACATATTTATATATATGCGCTGAATTCATGATCTGAATATAAAAGATTTATATGAGAAAGCAGTTTCGCACATAAGATTGCTCAACAGAAAAAACCACCTTTATGTACATACTTTTTTCCATTCTCCGAGTTGTATTGAAAGACATACGAAACTATTCCCTTATTGGCTTCTTCTTTCAACATAATATCATTTATCCTGGCTAAATCATCATTTCCAGTAAAGTGATCCCATCTAAACATAAATTATAAATTAACAAGTCTTAAATGTATATATAAAAAATATATATATATATATATAGTTATTAAACTTACGAGCTAGAATCACCATAATTCATAACCTTACTGGGGATGGTCTGAATCCCATCTTCACATTTTTTGCATTTAAATGTATCGTGTGTATCACACATTGTGTCTGGATTAAACTGGAATAACTGTTTTAACGATTCCAAAGAAAAGTGACGTTCTACATGTTCATCTTCATCCACAACACACGAAGAAAGTGATTGTTTATGAGATTGTCGTTGGAAGATTTTCTCCTCTATTGAGCCTGTAGCGATGAATCGATAGATGAAACCTATATATATATATATATATATCGAGAGATAAGATTAATTGTTGTCACTGTATAACTTGGTTAAAAACCAGATACATTCTCACATTCTTTTTTCTGCCCATCTCTCCATATTCTCGCCAAAGCCTGTATGAGAGATTTCAAATATATTAGAGGCGGTTTTTTTAATGAACTCAAATGTCTACGAAATAAATACCTGTTGATCGGCAGCAGGATTCCAATCTTGAGATGAAAAGTAATAATCATTAATATAGAATAATAAACAATTAAGATACATAAAAATATATTGATATATTGCATACCAGGATCAAACAAAATTAGTCTATTTGCGCCAATAAGATTTATGCCACAACCGCCCGCTTTGCTGCTTAATAAAAAGATGAATTCTGGACCACTTGGATTATTGAATCTATCAACAAGCTTTTGTCGCTTTTGGATATTCATTGATCCGTCCAACCGAAGGAATCCATACCTAAAGAAAATAGTCGAATTAGAAAAAATCGATTGAGACGATAATAATTATATATATTTTTTTTAGTTTACTTTTTATTGCGACATAATTTTTCGAACAAGTCAAGAGTTTGCGTATAGTTTGAGATCAACACAATCTTATCATCTGTCTCTTGTTTAATCTTGGATAACATCCTATTATATTTATTTATTAATAAATTAATTAGAATTAAGAAAATTCGATGAAAGAAAATGCGGTAATTTACCTATCAAGAACCTGCATCTTGCCAGAAAATTCTGGCCTAACGTAACGTGATTTTTCCTTAATTGAATAGCCTGGCGGGAAGCAATCTTCAGAACCATGAAGATCATCAGGTAAGTCAAGTAAATCCGGGTGATTACATAATTTTTTCAGAATCGTTATAGCTACAAATAATATGCGAGAACTGGGTTAATTAATAATTTGTTTCTCATCATAATATCTGAAAAGACTGAAGCTATTATATACCTTTAAGAGGCTGTGATCCGACACCACGCAGTAGACGCTGGATTGCGGGTGACGTCAAAAACAAATCATACAATGAAAGTTGAAATTTACTCAGACGACAAAAAACTACATGCTCATATTTTACGGGTACTAAAATAATCCAACATCAAATTAATTAATTTCTAAAGTATTGAACCGTAAGCAATAGCAAAATAAAGCTCACAGAATTTTGATAAAAGATCGTTTGTACGCCTGATAATAAATTTACTGACGAATGACCAGAGTTCCGCAAGTTTTTGATCGCTAATCTCACGTTCTCGGTCACTGGCATCTGCATCACGGCCACGTAGAATAGGATTTTCGTAGTTTCTACGAAATTCAGACTCAGTTCCCAAAAGTCCAGGATTCGCGAAATTCAATAGGGAAAAATATTCCGAAAGATCGTTCTTAAAGAAATAATCGAATAAAATTCCGAGAAATAAAAAATAGGGTCGCTCGTAAATCATTGCCTTATTACTATTATACCTGAATGGGTGTACCAGACAAGATCACTCTACGTTGAACCTTGAGAGAATTAAGAGTACGGAAAACAAGCGATTCTATAAAAACGAATTAGGAGATTAAATCTGTCGTCCAAATATAAATGTAAAAGAAAAAATAACAAACCTGAGTTTTTTAGGCGATGTCCTTCGTCACATAACAATAATCCAATTTGGCAGTTGTTAAGTTCAGTGATATTAGTCCGTAATGTTTCGTACGAGATTATTAACACTAGATAAATTCATTCAAGAATTTTAAGGGTTAATCAATTTTAAATATATAAAATTATTATTTGGTTGTTTGCAAAGAATTACCTGGATTCATTATCATTCGACCTTGGGCATTGACAAATTGCCTCAAATCCTTCAAGAACTTTTCTTTTGTTCCTTTATGATCGATAGCCAATGGTCTAATTCTATTACCAAGCCATTTGGCTTTTTAAAAAACGCAAGAATAAATTAATTTTTAAAATTCCCAGCATGAAATAACTTCAATATTGTAATAAAAACTTGCTTAATTCGTTTGCCCAATTACGAACTAAACTTGAAGGGCAGGCAATAATAGCCTTTTCAATGGTTCCTTTATTCGGAAGAGGAGATTGACGAAGCAGCGTCCATAGGAGTGCGATGCATTGAAGCTAAAAATATCAGTTTATATTTGACTACTATTACGTTCTATAAAGCATGTTGCTATTAAATAAACCACATACCGTTTTACCCAATCCCATTTCATCAGCCATTATACAGCTTTATTCCATCATAAATTATGAAAAAAAGTTTAATGGATTCTTAATTTATTAAACAAAAGATGACCCTCTAATGCTCACCCATAAGCGCCTTCGACTACTTTTCCTGTAGTGCATTTATAAAGAAACTTTACGTATTTTGAATGAAAATTTTTAATCAGTTACTTTATATAGAATTAAGACTAAGAAAAGCCAATCCTCGTCGTATCATTTTTACCTTGACGCCTTCTACTTGATGAGGACGTAGCCTTGAAGCTAAAATGGGATCTAAATGAACGGAGGTAATTATCATGAGTGGCATAACTCGAATTTAATTTTACTCATTGATTGGACTCACCAACTACCACATGAACCTTCTTATCACTTTTGGGAATTACGACACCCAATATTTCAGCCAATGTTCTTTCTTTTTTCTTAAGTGGCACAATTGGTTCTTTTTTTTCTTCTTCGTTATCAGAAGGATAATAAAGTACAATGGATTTTTCATTATTTGGATCATGTAAAGCTTTTGTTCCTATAAAAACTTTTCGACGCATCCCTAATGTAAGACGACGGTTTGGGTCTTCCTCCTGTATCGTATTAGAATGATTATTTGATTGGTTATCGTTCGGTTTGTTAATAAAAGTTGGGGGCTTAAATTGAGATTTAAGCGAGAGCTTTGGATCTCTCAACGTTAAAGGTGAAGCAATATTGTTTCTCGCAGAGACTTCAGCCAAAGGCATTCTTTTCGTGCCGGTTGAATTTAGTTTCGTTTTTTTTCGAGGATGTTTTCCGTCGTTATCGCTGGAGCTATCCTCCTCGGATTCATCATCAGAATTATATTCACTTTCACTTTCGGTGCTTTCGTCGTCATCGTCATTGTTTTTCTTGTTGTATTTTTTAAATCTCTTACTTCGCTTGACAGGAACGCAAACTGGTTTTTTGTATGTCTTTGAGGTGGAAGACGACGACGACGAAAAGGAGGACGCGTTTTTGGTGGGAACGATGACGTTTGTTTTGAATGGTGTTTTAAAGGGTGCCCTGAAGGGTGTTTTAAGTAAGTGTGCAGCCATTTGTAAGTCAAATTTGACAAACAAAGAGGAAACCACCAATCGGAAGAAAAAGGAAGGTGGGTTGTGTGTTTGATAACAAAAAGTCTCGTAGAAGTTGCAACATCGTTAATACGCGTAAAAAAAAATTGATTGATTGCTATTGAATAATGTTTATGATCACGTTATCTAAGGTGGTATTTCAAAATCACGTTCATGTGACTTTATATAAAAGTCATGTATTATTATAGTATCGCTGGGGGAGCCCCATATGAAGAGATAATCACGTAATTTCTGGTCCTTTCCTAACGTTTAATGTGACAGATTAAAATGAAATCAGATTAAAATGAAATTTTCTCTATTTTAATATGAAAATTTCGTATTTTTTTGGGGGCAATTTTCTAGGTTTTTTTTGGAATTTGGATTAGGATTTAGGGTAATTTTTGTTAATAAAAGAGTATATATGGATTTCAGAGGCATTAAATTTCATTTTAATCCGATTTTATTTTAATCTGCCACATTTAATATCCTAACTCCGGGGAAAAAAATGTAAAGGGATAAACCAATCAAATCGAAAGATTAATGTGTAATGAAAAATTCATTGTAAAATTACTTTCTGTGCTCTAATAAAAAAAATATTTCTTGCAAAATTTTACTATATATTCTTATATGTTATTAATATTATAATAAAATTTTAACTCTAACTTAATCTTAATCTTAATTCCTAATCAAAATATTTATATCTTGTGATTTATCCTTAAAAAAATCATGTAATCAATAATTTTTTTATAATAAAAGAATACCAAAAATAAAATAATAAATTAAGATTAATCCAGATCAAAAACAAATTAAATTAAAATATATGATGCAAAATATCTTAATTTACTAATCATATGAATTTATTTTAATTTTGCATATGCAATATAGTATATTATATAATGTAGCCAATAATATAGCAAATATTAAGTAATAATATATAATATATTATATTATATAATATAACTAAGAATATAATAAATATGTATAATTATATTAAATAATTTTTATTCATTTAAATAAATATTATTTATTATAATTATTTATTTTTTTTTAATTATTTATTATTTAATTTTTTTAATATAATCTTATATTATGTATTAATATAATTTATTTATCTATTTATTAATTTATTTCTCTTTTTTTATCTTATTTATTTTCTTTTATTTATATATTTCTATTATTTAATTAATATTCTTTAAGATTTTATAATATGACTTAAACTTATTAATTACTTATTTAATAATTTTATTTTTTAATTTTTTATTTATAGCTCTTTAGAATTTATATATAAATTTATAAATAGTAATTATTAATTTTTTAAAGTTTAAATCTAATATTAAATTAATAAAAATTATTTATATATAATATATTATTATAATTAATCAATAAAATAATTTTACATAATAAAAAATTATATAATATATTTTAATTTTAATTAAAATATATAATAAATATTTAATTTTAAAACTTAAATTAAAATTCTGATTAATAATTTAATAATATATATTTAAAATAATATTATTACTAATTTATTTTTTTAAAATTTAATTTATTAAAAATTTTAATAGTTTTTAAATATTATATAATTTATTAATAAGTTAAAATTTTTTATATTATATATAATAATTTATATAAATAATATATTATTTAAATTACTAATAATTATTTATATAATTTTTAATTATATAAAAACTAATAAATAAATAAATATTACTAATTAATATTAAATATAAACTTTATATTATTATTATTTAAGTTTGTATATACAGTGGCGACCAAAAGTAAAGACTTGGAGGCTAAATTTACTAATAAAACATAGTAAAAATTAAAATTTTCTCTCTATATAAAAATTTATAATTTTAATAAGAAATAATTTCTATTTTTATATTAAAATAAAGTTTATTAGTTG